TTTAATGGCGACCGAAATATCCCAAAAAACCAAACCTCAATGAGTGTAGTATCGAGTATCTACCAACTTCAGACTGAACCAAAGTCGGTCATCTTACTATGTCCTAAAGGCCAAGTTGGTCGAGTAAAGGTTCTAAATGTTCATTAGTGCTTCATGACATCACTCAGCGGCCCCGTATTCTCCTTGACTACTCAAGGAATACTGGTACCCACAAATATGTCGCACTAACATAGCTACTTCTTAGACCATGTCGGTATACCCCGCACAGTTTCCACAACGTATTGCTACTTACCTATAAGGTATCCCAAATCCGGGTAGAGGATTCAAACCCAAACAAAGAACCATAATGTAAAGCATACAAGCCAAACAAAGAAAGCAAGTAAATGTGATCTAAACCTAAGGTAACCCCACTTTTATAATTCTCCCTAGCAGAGTCGCCAGTTCTGTGATACGGTGGGAGAACTGACTTGGGTTTTTTGCGTTTGATCACAAATGTTGCGGTTAGCAAGAGTCGCCACCGGATTTTCTTTTATCCAAAAGTAAAGGTGAAAAAGCACAGGAAAGACCTTTGAGATTATTTCTTGAGTTCGGGGGTAGATTATGAAAAGGGAAGGTATTAGCACCCTTTTCATCCGTGGTTTTCCATGGGCTCTTAGTTACTTGCTAGATCACTTGCTTTTGTTTGAAATTGTGTTTTGTATGGTTTTTGAAAGTATTTTGTAAAGAGGTCATTGTTTAGGCAAACTTTGTAATGATTCTCGTTCGTAAAAATGTATACAAAGATGTTGATCTTTTGAAAATGTTTTCAAGTTTGTAAGATGTTTTGAAAGTGTAGGTGTTTGTTCTGAAAATAGCAGGGATGTTTTGTTTTGAAAGTGAGCAAGTAACTAGGAACATTCTACCTACTCAAAATTCTTTCATGTTCATTTCCTTTTTCCTTTGACATTTTTATCTTACCATTGATTTGGTAAGTAACCCTATCTTTGGATGTAAACGGGACGGGCGTGGGTCATCGTATAACCATGATTAGCAATGTTGCAAGGTATCTTAGCATTTTTCTTTAGGGACTAAGATCATTTTGAAAGGGAACTTTTGATAGCGTCGTCGAGGGACTATGATCTTGTATTTTGCTTGTCTTTTCTAAGATACTTCACATGCATAATATGGCCATTTTTGTAAGGCAACCAAGTGGATTTTACCCTAGGGGTGCTTGTGTGCAAGTGTATTGATTTTCATACTTTGTTTAGTCTTTGATTAGGGTTTGCTACTTGTTGATTTTATCTTCTCATACAAACCCTAATTACTAGCATTTATATAAAACGATAAATTGCGAAAAGTAAAATTACTACGCTATTACATCATTAGGGGAGGGGTGTACAAATTAACAAATGGGGATTGCAAGAAAATTAAACCTAATTAACTATTACAACCATATTGAATAAATGTACAATAATTGAATAAATAAAATGTAAGAATATAAATGGAAAAAGAAATGATTTTTGTTGTTTTTATGAAAGGGGTTTTGTCTTGACCTAATTAAAGAAAATGATTAATTAAAATTAAATAAAATTAACTTAAACTAATTAAGAAAAGAAATTAATTTGAAAAGGGTTTTTAGGTTTTTTTATGAAAAGGTTTTAAATTAATGAAAATAAAATGAAGATTAATTAATTAAAATAAACCTAAGTTCTAAATTAATTTTAACTAAGAAAATAAAATAATATACTAATTTAACCTAAGTCTAAAAATTAATTATTTAAGAAAAAAAGAAATTAATTTGTTTAAGAAAATGTTTTTTAATCTTTTTTATTTATAGAGAAAATAAAATATATAAGTATGAATAATAAATAAAAATATTTTTTTTGGATTTTTATTAATAAAAATAATAATAATATTAATAATAATAATAAAATAATAAAAATATTAAAGAAAATAAAATATAATAAAATAAAAAACAGAAAAATGAAATAATTAAAAAAAAAGGGCCAGCACAAAGGCCCAGGCGCTGCAAAAAAACTCAAAAATATCAAAAGGTCACGCTGAGGCTTGAACCCTGGACCTAAGGGTGACAAGCGCGCGCTTTAACCATTGGGGTGGTGATACACTTGTTAACTTGTGTGAAAGGATAAATACATAACACAAAATGCGCCCTGATTACACTTCATCTTCAACCTCCAGCCAAAGGATCTTTAACTTGCTCATTTCTCAACCATTTGCAAAAATGTAAACATGAAAATTGCTCCATTTTGTCACACGAATTCAACCATATAAATATCATAAGCTATAAATCAAAGATGAATGGGAATTTCTAAAAGTACCAAATTCTGACCTAAATATTTCAGAAAGTTCAAACTCAAAATTCTCCTTGCTCAATCTAAATAAATGAAATCCATAGACATGTATAGTTTCAGGGCAATGATGTCTACATTTTATCTTCACAAATGCAAGCCTAACATTGCCTAAATATGAAGATAGAAATTCAAGAAAAATACCTCAAAACTGGAAATCATGAAATGGATTTGAGCTTGTTTCAGGCAGTGCTGATGATCAGGTTAGCTTCCTCGGACTTCTAGGAAGCTAATGCAATGGCTGACTTGAGCTGAGGGTGGCTGGAATGGTCTGGAGAAGTTCAACTATGATGCTCTGTTTTTGAACTTGGAAATGGATGAAGATGGTGTTACAGTCGTGTAACAAGGATAGGGATGACTTATGTATGCTGTTTGGAAGCTTTTGGAAGCAAAAGGCCAGAAAATGCACGTGTGAAATGGAAGTTCGAAGTTCTTGGTCAGAATATGCAACAATGGTGGTTTGTGATGTAGTTCTATTTTTTTTAGTTTTCATGGCTTATGTATGCGTGGGTTATCTTGAAAATAATGTATGTATTTATAGGCAAGAGGTTTTATGTCTTATAACAAGTCATAATTTGAAAATCAAATGTTGTGGCACCTTTCTTATTTTTGAAGCAAAGTTGAAACATCTTGTTCCAAGGCAAAGTACAGGGATACATAGAGTGGTTAGTAATTTAGACATGCTTGCTTTTAGTTTATAGGGTTTGTGTGTGCAGAAAGAACAAGTTCAATGCTCAAGGAGAGTGGACTTTGTGATTAAAGCCACTTTTCAAAAATAACAATGGTGTCTTTCTTCCAAAAATGGAAGTGCAACTTGGATAATGGTTCAAATGCTTTGACAATGGCTCCATATGATGTGTAAACATTTAATTAAGGAGTGATATGCAAGTTAGAAGCCTGCAAAGTGAGATTATGCAGCATGACTATGTGATTTGGTCCATTGTGCATCACAAATTCTGTCTTGTAAAACAACTTGAAACCCCAACTTCTGACCTTCGATTCTCCTTGCTCATAAATGATCTCAAATAGTTCTTGGACATTTTGGAAAGCTTGTAGTGTTCTCTACAACCCCCATTTGAATCACTTTTGCAAAATCCAAATGGAACTATGTGAAACTTGGATCAGAAGTTAGGTCAAAATCCTGACTAAAACTAGGGCAAAATTTCACTAAGTGTTTAATTTCAAGACCATGACTTTATGAATTGATAACTTGATATCCAAGCATTTTTAGAGGAGGACAAAGGAAATGGGGAACCTAACCGTGATATTGAATCATCAAAGTAGGATAAAAGGATGCTTAGCCAAGACATCAAATCGTCGAGGCAAGCAAAATGGGGGAATAATGGTTCTTAATCGTGATATTAAATCATCGAGGCAAGAAAGAAAGGGGTGTCGACTCTTAACTAATATATCAAATCATCGAGGTAAGAGAAGAACAAAGAGTGAATTGTGATAAACGATTAAACACCTGACCAAGATATCAAAAATCAAGGTAAGCGATAGAAGGCAATAATGAGATCACATCAAAGCATCAACGTTTCACAAACGCAAGCTAAAGACAAAGTGTGGGGGATTGATTACAAATCCCCTTTCTATCTGACTGACTCAATAACCAGAGTAAGCACGGTTCAAAGCATCAACATACAATGTGAGCTAAGAATGATATAGACTCGAATGGGTGGGGGTCGATTGCAGACCCTTTTCCACTCGCCTTCTTTGAGGACTTATGAATGGGGTATGGGAATGGGACGCCTTCTCTGAGGTCTTTAACAAATGTAAACACACAACAATATAATCAAACACACTTAGGAATTTCCTGCTACAGGTCTTTTAAACAGTGATTTGCCTCAAAGGGACTCCCAGAACATGCATCTCTATCCTTCTTCTCATGACATCAGAAAAATGGTAAATAATCATGCATCTCTATCCTACTTCTCATGGAAAGAAAAGCGGTAAATAATCATGCATTTCTATCATACTTCTCATGGCAAGGAAAGCGGTAAATGATGTAGAGAAATAAACCAGAATCAATATAATACCAAATGAATAAGAGTTCGTAGCAAAGTAGAGAAACTCGGAAAACTTCGAGCAAGCTTCACCAAGCAACAGAAAAGAGTCATAAATCAAATGCTCGGGATAAGCGTCGAAGCATCACTAATGTGAAAATAAATCACAATCGGAAACTCAAGCATATCTGCATATCACACAATAAACCTGCGCATGATTCAAATCTCGACAAGCAAAAATAAATCACAAATCTCAAGTAATCGAATAATCATGAATCACATTGTGCTTTTTATGGTGTAGTGAGGAGAGTCCAATGGATTTTTGTTCTGACTAACTAATTTCTAAACTTGCCAAAAAAAAAAGAAACATTGGGCTTCAAGGAGTGCACATGTACCAGGGCCCGTAAGTCCCGATCTGATTCACTTGATCCAAGCCTATTGCCCAATTATTTCAGATTTTTGTTTATTTAATTGATTCCTGGTTTACTTAAAAACAAATTAAAATAAAATAAAAAAACAAATTATATTGAAATGCAAAAGAGGAACTAGGGTTTAATTAATGACTATTCAAATCAGAAAATGAAACATCTTCTTTCTCAAATAAATCGCGGCGTTGATATTCCTCCCCGTCTCAAACTTCTAATATATGTCGTTCGCCGTCTTCTTCATTTCACTTTATCTCCTTCATCACAGACTCAAACGTCTCAACCTTGATCTCCTCCGACTCGGTGATACTCAGGCACGTAATCGATTCAAGAGAAACCAACAACTCATCACAGAAACAAATAGGAAAGAGAGTGAAACAGCGTTTACCTATCAGAACTCGTCTGGTGCGTCTTCAAGCACGAAGAAGATGAAAAGAAATTCAGAGAGTCATGCTTCACATTCTTCAGGTATGCTTCGCCTATTCTCCGCTCAATCTTCTTCTTCTTGTTTATGCGAATCGATATTGTTGCGATGCGATAAAGAAGAGGATTGATCTTGATGTTATTGATGCATAAAAGTTGTTGCATTGTCGAAGCGGATTGACGATGTGCAGGGAATGATACGAAGGTGCAGTTGTGATGAATATGTGAAATGGTGAGTTTGTTGTGATGTCTGCGATATCAATGTTGCTATGAAGTTGCAGCGATGAAGAAGATGTTGTAGCATGCAAAAATGTAGATGAATAATGAAACATGGACACAGAATGCAGAGAAGATTTCAAGAAAGTCAGAGAAAGGCTTCAAGGATTTTTTTGGTGGTTATCCCCAAGTTGTGAAGAATGAATCGTGAATTAAGGTGAGTTTTGTTTTATATTTCTGTTATCAGTAGAAAAGTTGGTTAGAGAAAACTGAATCTGAGCCATTGAATCTGAAGTTTGTTACAAGAATTGGAGGGATGAGATTGATTCAAAAATGAAATGAGTTGTGAAGCTTGAACGGCTATGTTTTCGATTTTTGTTAACTCCTTCCGCTTTTCTTGATTTTATCTTTATCCTGATATGCTGAGTTGGATAAAAAAGGTTTCTGAAATTCTGATCTTTCCCTGATTTTTTGGTTTAACAAATCAGCTGTTTCTGATTTAATATTTTCTTCTTATTCTGCTTTGATATTTTCTGGTGCAACCTTTTCCTCTTTATTCCCGCTGTTTTGGAACACTGGGCTGTTTATGTGATGTGCATGAATCGATTATGATTAGCTTGAATCATGGCAAAACCGATGAAGCCTTAGCAATATTGTGTGCAGCAGGTTTGGTTGTATGTTCTTGGACAAGGTAACATATTGGCTATTGTGTGGTGATGCTTGGCAAACATTGAACATGTATGCAAGGTGTATGTGTAGAGTCTGGACTGTTTTGTACGATATTTTGATGCAGGTCCAAATATGGATTTTTGGTTTATGAAGAAAGCCTGAAACTTGAATACAAGTCATGGAGAATATTAAAGCTTGATGACGGGTTGAAACATGAAGATAGGTGAAGAATTGGCATCAAGAAATGAAGACTAATGGTCTTTCAAAACTTAGAACTTTAGCAACCTTAGGTTTTTTAGGATTGTTTTTGAACATGGAAGCATATGATGTATTCCTTGTAATAGTTTCATGTAGTAATGGTGTTTGGAGTGTTTGTGAAATGTGTAATGCTTTAAATCAATTCACCTTCCAATATTTCCTTGGGATTTGCACCTTTTTAATGAATGTCTTGTATGGAATCCCATGGTATAAAGTCAATTGTAACATAATCAACATGATTTGAAGTTTTTTAGCCCAACCTCTAATTTACATTGGCTTGAATGCTTTTTCACATTTTAATGAACATATTAATCCCTTCCATCTTGTTAACCTTTGAATTCAAAATGACAACTCCAAGTACTCCAAATAAAATCTTTTTCCAATCATGAGCTTGGATGAAATTCCCCCTTCTTTCGAAAATTCAATGAATTTTCAAATTATGAACATTGACAAACCCACTTTGAATACTCGAAACCAAACTTAGAAGACATGCCAAATCTTAATTCCATGTTTGAATACATTGCATCACAAGCTATGGTTTATTGAAAAATTATCCTTGAACCATACACACACAATCCTATTTGAAATGAATGATGAATCCACACCTTATCTCTTGTCTTGCACAAAAACCAAAGTCTTTATTGTGAATGAATGATAAAAGACGGGATCTCAATATACTCTTGATGAATGATGCACCACGTGCCATATCTCGAGGAAAATCAATGAAGGAAAGCTTTTCATGCTAAGACGGAACCTTGACCAAAGATCTTGAGTTGAAGCACAAAAGATGAGAAAACCCTAATCTTGATAAATATAGAGGAATAAACTCTGATTTAAGACCTTGGTGAATCTTGATGAAGAATAACCTTTGAAGAAGAGGTTCCTGACAACCACACTTTCAAAATCCTAATTCCACAGCTCGGTTGCTCGAAGGAAATCCAGGTAAATCAGGTTTCACTGGACATATACACATCAAATCAGTTGTAAAACTATAGCTTGTACAACCACTGAATTTTTGAACCATGGTACTTTATTGAATGAAATGCATGATTATGCAGATGACTCAATGAAACGTGATGCAAATGAAATATATGAGAAGCATTAGTCATTTTGTTTTTAAATAAGAGGGTAAATTTTGGGGTACAACAGCTGCCTCTATTCAATCTTCTTTAACAAGAGGGTGAGATTGGCGGTAGCCTTTCGAACAATCAAGGTAAAAGAGGATTGAATACTTAATAGAACTGTAAAATTTGCACTCTGAAGACAGTTGGGTATTATTATATTTTTGGATTTTCTGTATTGGTGAAAAGTGGTTGTCAGGAAATGCATGTTGGGTCAAGATCAGACACACACCAAGAAAGAGATCAAGTATACATGCTCGGGTTGAATTGGACACATATAACAAGAGACCTGGTTAAAATAGCTTATAACCCCCACCATTTAAAAATAACTCCGAGTGAAGGCGTACTTCAAGAAACGAAATGGACGCCGGGTGATGTAACACCCCTTCTAATAAACCCCGAATTAAACGATATAATTAAAATCAGAGAAAATAAAATTTGCACGAAAGGAGTGTCACAACATCAGTTCACGTATTCAAGAAAAACGGACATGACATATTCGTCACTTTAATCATTTAATCACATGATACATTCATGGCATATACTTTCTTTTTCGTGCAAACGCAACGGAATCATAATAACTTCATCTCCAAAGGAGGAATCAAAATATAAAATTCAAGGCATTAAGCCATACGGTTCATACACCAAACATGTTATCAAGTCATAATACACATACATCAATATATAATCAAAACAATGGATTATATAAAAGTATAATCCATCTACAAAATATACGAGTTCGAATGCGGACCCTAACCCCCAAGTGTTACAACCAGAGCATCGACTCGATAAACCAAAATAAAACGGATTACAAGTCTAAGTCGTCCGCTAACCCGTGTGCCTCGCACTATCGTCTTTGGTACCTGAGCGATACCATATCAAACATCATTTCAACAGAAGGGTAAGAATTCCAACAAATATAAAGTATGTAATTAAAGCAATTGAAAGCACTAAATAAATAGGAATTCTTACACTTTTCCAATTCAAGAGTAAACTACAAAAGTATGGTTATTCAATCCATTTCACATAATCATCACATCAAAGGAATCAAACACAATTAATTCCAATTATCAAATAGCACACAAAGCATATTATTCAACAAAACATCAACTCAACAAAATGTGTACGTGCGACTCGATACTACGACACGACTCATGCATGTGGTACCAATCATCCATTATCCTTCGGACTTGCCGATGTCTATCCCTCAGACGGATAATCACAAAGCCCGTTCCCTAAGCTTTCAAACCCCCACTCTGAGTTTGGGACGAGCCACTAGCCTCCACGAGACTAACAGACATCGCCTCTTGACACGACTTATGATGCGGTGTGCAATTCAATAACAACAATTATGCAAATCAAGACATCCCTCTATCTCAATTACAAGCATACATCACCATAATTCAACCCTACGAATTAATTCCACAACATTGCACAACAAACATCATTTAATCATTTCAACATTTATCACACAACAACATAACATTTATAAACCGAACATGTTATTTCCGGAATCGACATTTCACAACACATTTTAAATCTACAACACATCTACAATTTAATTAATCTCCGGTCGAATCCAAAATATCGAGTTTTATCGATAAACCGTAACCGATTATATAATTAATCACACTGTTAATTATAATATATATTAATATATTAATTAAACTATTGAAATTCTACTAAATATGGAGGGCTGATTTTGTCTTCACACCGACAAAACTAATAACACAGTCAAAAGACAATAGAAAACGCGGTTTCAATTTCCAACATTCATCATCACATCCAATACAACTGTGAACATCAATTATATATTCTAACAAAACAACCTTTCTATTAATTTTAATAAAATCAACTTGTATGTTTATAGATCTATACTAAATAAACAAATCTCCATTACTTTTTTTTGTCATCATCTAGATTACACATATGTATGTCAAACAAACAACCTTGCCTACTTTCTTTGTGTTTTATCTTTAATCAAAATAATTTATTTTATATATATATATATATATATATATATATATATATATATATATATATATATATATATATATATATATATATATATATATTCAATTACACTAAAGTTACTAAAATTATCAAATAATAATACCTCTAGATCATTTCCTCCGTATAGTCACTATTTTTTTTTTGTGGTATAGTTAATATAATGAATCACCAAGTGCAATGTTCAGTATAGAGATATATTGCTAAAATCCATTAAAATAGTGGAGATTCCAAAAAAAGGGGCATGGTTCCTCTTGGTGGTGTTTCCCATATCCCAGAACAACAACAACAAGAACATAACATATATTTTTACAGGAACGTTTATCTCACACAAAACCTAATTTCCTAAATTAATTTCCTAATCAAATGTTATAAATAACATACAAGATATTTAGAGTAAGTCTAACCCTTACCGATTATCCTCCGGAACGAGCTAACCGGTCGATTTTCCAGAAATTTCTCCTCTCCTCTTCAACCTTATTTTCCTCTTTTTCTCTTCTTCTTCTCTTCTCTCTTCTCTATATTTCCAACTTTCTGATTTTTTTTTTCTATCTTCTAACTAACCCACTACTCCTAATATACTACTTTATTATATAATATATAAAACTAACTTATTTCTTTTATATAAACAAACTAACAGTATTACTTTAATTACTAAACTAACTTATATATATAACATTAACACATAGTATAAGTTAACGTAACTTATATATAATAAAATTAATATTTTATTAAATTAATTTAATATAATTAAATAACATTAACTTATTAATTTATAATAAATCAATTAATACTAATATAAATCCATTCTCACAAATAAATCAAATAATACATATAATAAAATATTTAGACACTAAATATGATATTATCGTATCAAAATAGTTATTTTCTGGTAGAACAAATAAACCTAATTAATCACATACCGGACCAAATTACCGACTAA